CAATAGTTATACTACTTGATGTTTTGGAACTTTGACACATTGAGGCCAAAAGAACTACTTTGTGTTTCTACTATCATCCGCAGATTTTTTTGGAATAGGTAAATATTAGCCAGGCATTTTCTTTTTTAATTTGAAAAGTATCTTTACTGTGCTTATATAGAGCAGTAGTTCTGACTTTCACAGTGCTATACAAACTTAAGGGTATTGTAGGCACACAAATCTAGGATAGGTCGGGTTAGCCGCAGGTGCCAGACACACCAATAAGTAATGTGTGATAGTTTATACTCATCATATTACTATTAGTGTGTCCAGTATCTGTGGGGTTAGCAGAAACACAATATTTGTTTTAATTGGCCGTATTTATTGATCATTACTAGGTCACACAGGAATCATTTATAACTTGAGCGATAAAATAATTCTTCGCAGAAAAAATGGAAATATAATATTTTTTTAACCTTTTCTGAGTTGTACAATTTTAAAGTATCTTCTGTCTGAAACCTGATAATGACTTGGTTTATAACAAAAGGTGTAAAAATTCTCATACTGGGAAAAAGTTTTTCTATATAGTCCCAAAAACTACAGTTAAAATCCTTAAGCACAACAAGATACAACAATATTTATTTTATGTCAATTTTGCAATAAGCTACAAAGAGCTTGTATTTGAACAAAACATGAGTATAATAATAGAAACCAAAACATTATTACATGAAAAAAATAAAAATAAACTGTTTACAAAGAAAAAGAGTTTATCACTTGGAAAGCATTTTGCACATAAAAGGCACATTGCACACGGTAAGCACATCAGCACTTGGTAATTTAAGCACATTAAGCACATTTGGGTATAGCACAAAAAAATACCCACCATCACATGGAAAGCTTATTAGCTCATAGTAGGCACATTTGCACACTGTAAGCAAAACAAAGGAGTGCAATGGACATCTCCATGTTTCCTGGTTATTTTTTTTCTTTCTGGAAACAACAAGGGGAGAGTGATGTACTGCTTCATCTTTTGTATTAATGAAAACCGTGAATATCTAGGTGCGTGTGTTTAAACTGTCCTCTTTTTTTTTTTTACTGTGGTTCAAGAAAATATTTCCTTCTTTTTCCACAAGAGTACTGTTTCAACTTTATCAGGCTTTTCAATTCGAAGGCGAATATATTAAAAGAGAGATAATTTTGTTTTGTTTTTACTGGTACCTTTTTTATGTACACATGTTTTACAATCTAAGAAACCAGTTAAGGTGTCTTAAGCCCCCATGATATGTGGTGTTATAAGTTGACTTTTATGTACATTTTGTTTATATTTAGTTCTGCTACCAAAGAGATTGACTTACTGAAATGTTTGTCAACCATTTTAATGAATTCCTAAGCTGTAATGCCTTATTTCTCACCGTACAAGCTCATCATACTGCTATGCCTCCTATTTCTTTTGAACATTGTCTCTAAACATTTTTATTGCTGGTGCAGAAATTATTTGGTGACTATATTCTATTTTAGGGGAAAAACAATCAACATTACAACAGACATGGATGGTTATTGATGGGAGGAAGGAGGATGAGAAATAGGAACTGAACCCCTTCTCTCATACCTTTAGGACTTCATTAGCTTTTTCAAATGGCTGCAAGAACTGTACCAAGAGTGACATGACATTTTTAAGTCTATCAGGTACCGTATATAGGAGGAACCTCTGACTAAATCATTTTATCAGAGTCCACAGGTCCTTCCAACAGCGAATAGTTTAAATACTTTCCTTGCAAAATGGAGAAGTCGGTGATCTTTACTTGGGAGTGGAACAGATTGAATCTCTGATGATTGATGCTGAAAGCCTGATGAATGTGATTGAACAGCCCCTACTGACTAAAGGCACTAATGTTGGAATCTACGTTTGTTTTGATCAATATATAACACTATGGGTGCTGAGAGCAAATTTGAAAAACATTGAAAATATCTTTTTAAAAGATAGAACTACTGGTCATGGGTTTCTACTAGTTTTTGTCCAGTGAATTAAAAGTCAACGCAAATGTTAAGCAGTAAAAGAAATGTAACATCCCTGGTATAAATTGTACTTTTATCAATGCTTATGCTCCTCAATGTCAATAAAATAAAATAAAGTTATAATGTGTAACTTGATATTTGTTAATTTCACTCGATTTTACCGTGTCCAACTTTTGATATCAAATCTTGTGTGATATATGAGAGGAATCCCACACAAGATGTAATCTTGGCTATGTCAATGAAAGCAATTGTTTCTTAAGTTTTCAACTATATTTCTTGAAAGTTCATTTCTAAATTTCATACATCAATTGTTCAAGACAGTTTTAAGGTCAAGTTCATACATTCAAGGTGAAGGCTACAGCTACACAACCTGTACATGTGACAGGGTAATTGTCAGTGCTTTCCTAACTAAGTATTCAAACAAAATGTTTAAAACTTGCTCCATCATTCTGAACATCAAATCATGCACTACAAACAAATACACATGCAACCTCAACTTTCAATAAGTCTTGTCAACATTTGTTGCACAATGGTATCAAAACCAACAATAATGACAACTGTAATAACATAGTATGTGCTCTAGATGGTACATTTGCAGTACTCTTTTAAAATATATTTGAAATTGATATGTGCATCTTATTTCAAATGCTAGCCTATGACGACAACGATAAAGCTGAACATATGCTATACATTTCTTTTTGTGAAGAATTTATGCAATGGAAATAGAGGGAAAATAGTGTAACTCTATTATATTTTGGTTATCTTATTCAATATTGAAACATACAACAATGTATTATATTGTATTAGAGTGCTTTTTATCTTATTTGTTCCTAGGAACACTGATGCAAAATAATTCCATTTTTCATAAGTAGAGACCTTTTCACTGCAGTGAATATGTGAAACACTGTTTTTAAAAGCTTTTCAA